TTATATTTAAAAAAATTTTATATGCCAAGTAGGCCTTACATATATTTTTTAGTAAAACAAACAACAGTTGTAAATCACGCTTAAATTATTTTAAAGTTGTTCTTATTTATGCTTCTTCATTAATTCACGGTAAATTTAAGTTTTTGATGAAAAAAAAAAAAAAGATTTACTAGAAAAAACATTAGTAAAAAACACTTATTTAGCGTTAAAGTAATATTATAAGTATAATGTGTACTGCGAATCACTGTTGAAAACACTTCTATTTGAATATTTTTGTATAAAATATAAAAATAGTTTTGTTGTTCGATAATCTACGATTACAGTAGAATATTTAAATAGAAAACGTTAATATTATATTACTTATAAATTTCAAGGTAGTCACTATTTTTTACAAACTATTATTTATATTTAAAAATAACCAGTATGATAAAATAATAGAACATAGTAGGAAGGCGCTTAACGTTAATCAATCAGCAATACACCAAAATAATGCCAAAAATATTTATTCTTAAAATTAAAATTTTACAATGAATGACATATTTCACAATTTACATCTAATATAGTAGAAAAAGAGTAACAGTTATTGTACAATATTATAACATTTTCACATAATATCCATAATCAGAAATATAGGAATAAACTTAAACGTAATTTAAAACAAAAATAAAATAAAATGAAAACAATATGTAGTATTGCACATTTTGTTCTTTGACTAGATAATATTATATATATATATAATAACGTTTATTGAATATTTACAATCTCTATTATATGTACGATAAGTAAAGTTGAGGGAGGAATGATAGTGATGAGTCGGTGAAAACTCACAGTAGAGCTACCCTTTCATGAATCTTAAATAATTTATATTCAGTTTTTGAGAAGGTCTCTAACCAATTTCGATTTAGACACCAAATAGGGTTATCTGGAAGAGATTTTGACGGCAGTTGAGCTAYGAGTTAGTTTGGATGGCTTTGCATTTTGAAGTGAAGTCTTTGAAAGTAAGTGACTGCTGTCTGGTTGATGGATTGAACTTTACGGTCTTCATCATGTAGAGGCGTTTGTGGCATACCATGGGGCTTTGGTGACCATGCGGAGGCAAATGGATTGRAACGCTTAAAAAATATTATATATTTATGAACTAAAATATGCTGTTGATTGGACGCAATTTATATAGGTATTTATTATATTATGTCTCAGAAGTTATGGGGATGAAAAAAGTTCGAGTTATTAAGACATGTTTTAAATTATATTAGAGGTGCGCCGCGGAAGCAATGCGAAAGCAGATCCCGCGGCGTCGCCGGCTAAAACGGAAAAAAAAATTATATTATAGGTAACGAAAACAAAATTCTGAGGTACGTGTTGATCTGTACGGACATAACTATAGTTAATAATTTTCTTATTTACATATAGTTTTTAGTGTATATTTCACTATACTTCATATATTTAATTTTATATTGTTCATTGAATCAAACGTATATGATCGATTTATTATGCACTAGTTTTGGTATAATGGTATATAGATCGTGGCATTGGAGAAGACGAATGTGTTTCATAAAACGATTACATTGTCCTATATACTATAATGCACTATGGATAATGCAGTGTGATCGTTATGATAATAAATTATTGATTTATTATAAAATTTATGATTAGCATCTAAAAAACAAATTATTTCACGTACTTAAGACGATGATTAAATATAAACAAATTATAGATAGTCGCAACGATCGATAAAATAATATAAATAGTTGTCAAAACAATGATGACATAATACGATATTATATATGGTTTGGACCTACCGTAGTATAATATATTATATTCATTGCAGTAGCATTATAGCACGACAGGTTCGATCATTTGATCCAGTTTTCCTTGATCATGTCAGCCGCTTTCTCACCAATCATGAATGTCATCGCGTTGGTGTGACCACCTGGTATGAGTGGCATGATAGACGCGTCCACCACCCGAAGCCCTCTGACGCCACGTACCCTCAACTTTGGATCGACCACGGCGTCTGGGTCCGAGGCCGGTCCCATCTTGCACGTACCCACCTGATGGTGCAGGTTTGTTGTCAGCTGCCCGATGGAGCAACCCCAATACGCGTCCGACCCGAATGGCTCGTGTTCACAGCCCGGGAACGGCACCGACAACAGCGTGGATCCGTATTTTTGGAATGCTTGGGTTTTGCTCACCGCGATGGCCTACATTATTATAACCAAACCGTGATGAAAATAAATTAGATTAAAAAAAAATTATAACATTTATTACTATTATTATGTCTTGTGGTAATTATTATAGAATACAGCGGTATAGCAGACTCTAAACTAAGAAAGCATAATAATACTTTGAACGAAAATAGTATAAGTATAGTAATAAACTAATAACATAAAAAACTGATTTACTTATTTATATTCTTAGCATTTTATGCCATACGAATTATCATGTGTATTTAATTTTAATTGAACGCAATAATGTACCTCTATTGCCTATACGTTACGCCGTACAACGAATTATATTTATTGTACGATACATAAACTGAATATTCTAACTTTAATCTCTCGTCTTGACGTAAAATAGTAGTGTATTGTTGTTGTAAATTTAAAAGTACTGACAAATTATCATATCTTATTATAATCTTGAAACMGCTATAGATTAACTCTAATATAGATTTTCTAAGACAAATTTAAATGTTCAGTCATTTTTAATTAAGTTAGATATGGTGATGTCGTGACCCAAAATTTGCTTTGACCTCCAAAATAATTAGGAAAAAATAATAGAATATATTTTTAGAGTTGAAGGAAAAAGTGGATTTTGCATACTCAAATTTGAGAATTATTGACTTTTGAACTAATATTATATTGTTTTAGAATTTTGGTAAATTACCTATATAATACTTCATTACAACATTTTTGAACTTTGAGTATTCAAACATGTAAAATAAAATTTGTGTCGATAATTTATTATTTTACTCAATCTGGATAAGTCCAGGAATGAGTTTAAATTAGTACCAAATATAGGTATTGGAAATTAAAAAATTTGAAAATTACATATCGAAGGATGATCATAAATAAGGATGGTTTTATCTTATATGTTGCAACTATATTGGAAGGTCACTACCTATTTAAAAAAATGTTGTCGAATATCAGTTATACTAATTTGCTYACTGCGTAAGTAGTGAGTTGTGAGCAAATTATTTTGCTGGGTCAGTAATTATTTCAAATTACATTTACAATTGTAACATCAAAATTTCAAGGTAGGAATACATAACATTTTTATTATTATTATTATTTTTTTTATTGATCATTACAGCTTCTGTATCATAGGCCATTAGCTTTAGAAGTAACATTATTATTAGTTTAGTATTACGGCCAATATACTTATACAAATTTGTCGTGATGTTATATATGAGTCAAAAACCAATTCTCAAATATTTTATTGATTAAATTATGTATAAAATGAAATGATAATCATTATTACTATAATCAGTAGGTATATGTAGTCACTTAATACGCTGGATAATTATCATTTACAAAATAATGAGTACCTATTATAGTTTGTTATAATTTTATTGACATTAGAATCTAAATATTAATAGACAAAAAAAATACACTATTATATACTTTCGAATGTAAATAAAATACCTAATATTATAAACAAGATAATAATTGTAAGCCTTGCATGTCTCTTTTAAGCAAGGTTACACATTCTATGTTTTGCTACCTTACTAATTTCATTTAAAATGAATGTAAAACATTTGAATCCTAAAGTAATACATGCTGAATTATGTATCAACCAAATGATTAAAAAATATGTAATTCATATTTTATACAATACTTATAATTTTTTTTTTTAATTTGCTTTTTATTATAAAATAATTATAGCAACATATGTATGATTATTGTATGACTTTGAATTAATATGAAAATATATTAGAGATATCATTAAAAGCGTAATAATTATAATATGAAAAGGAAAAACAATGTGTAATAGATGGTTTTTCAAAAACCTCAATTATTATTCACGAATATTAAAATTAAAAGTTTCAATAATAATTATAAATTAGCTAAGAAAGTTAAAGTAATTTTGAGCCATTCTTATTTGTATTCACGAATGATTTAATGAATTTCAATTAAATGATAAATATTAATATAGAGTTTGTACAGTAAATATGAACATTTTTGATTTAATGATGAAATAATAGTTTGAATAGTTGTTATTATTTACACGGATAGAATTTAGTCTGATGATAAATTCATAATTATTATTGAAAAATGGTTTTTTTTTAATTAGTTCTATTGATAATAAATTAAAATATATTTWTTTTTTTTATTTATTAACCCGCGGCAACGTAGGCTATTGGGTGTGGGGAGGGTATTGTAGGTTTTTGTGTTGGGTAGGTTTGTTGACACACTTGTGTGGTTTTTTAGCAAAATTTTGAATTGGGCACCCGTAGGTTTCTGCCATGCCCGGGTGGGGGGCGTTGGTCTCTCTCTCCAGACAGCGTGAACTACCCGGAAAGCGATGCCAACCATGACTGGGATCCGAACTCCGAACTGGGGATGGTGCGCGTCGTAACCGACGTCTAAATCCACCCGGCCACTACACCCCCAAATTAAAATATTGTCTCCATAAGAGCTTTGAAATTTATTAAAAAGTCATTACATTTTTGTATCGATTAATATGAAGAATAAACAGAASAATTTCAACCAATATGTACTTATTAAATATATTATACGTAATGAATAGAGCGCGAATTTGTATGCATTTGCATATTTATTCTGGTTGATTATAATATATGATATGTCAAGTGAGCATAAAATTTGTTTCATGGCATATCGATTTAAAAAATTTAACTTTTTTTTGCATATTATTTTGATATTTATCCATTTATTTTTATTTTAAAATATATTGATTGCATATCTCATTTTTTAGTGTATTTTTTTCGTTTTCAGAAATTTTTATTTACATACCATTGTAATATAAGAAAAAAATATTATATATATATTTATAGTTTCAATTGATATAAATAAATTAAAAGGTTAGGTTATATATTGAGTTAGGTAYACCAATAGGTATAAATGGGTTTCCCAAAGATATTAGATCTTATAGATCAATAATAATCGGTAAAATAAAATACATATACCAAGATAAGAAAATACCGATTACGACCATTCAACATTAACATAAATCCAGGAAAAAAATAAGACAGTATTATTTTATAAGTAAGGTTCCATGATGTTAAATATGTTGTTTTAATTAAATGTTCAAAAAATGTAATTTTTTTATGCATATTTTTTATTTTTTATGCACATTTCGATATTTTAGTACATATATTTATGCATCTTAGTTGGTTTTATGAGCATATAAATCCACGCTTTAATAATGAATATATATAATATATATATTATGTACATTATTATTCTTATACAACAGTTATTTGAACAACAAATATAAAAACTTAATTATAAAATAATTCAAGTATGTTGTTAGAGCCCTGTCTGTATTTGATTTTGAAATTGTAAATATTACACTAAAGTGTTTATCTATTTTAGGGAAATCATTGTATTGTGTAAATCATCAGTAATCACTATAGTATTTATTATAATCCCCATCATCGTCATCGTCCACGACGGACGAGTTTTCATGATGTTYATTGGTAATTTGCGAAAGAAGTTAATGTAATAAATCATGAAAATATATTATCGTATGGAAATCGAAGTCGGAGGAGGACATAATAGATCCGAGATCGGGTCACGTACCGGACTACGTGGCCGTAAAAACTGCAGTCGTGATCACGTGACTAAGTGATTGTGAAATAAACTAGTTAAAACTACTTATAATGATGTCGTATACCATTACAATAAATAATACATAAATAAATTGCGTGTGTTGGTTAKTATTTGACCAACTCCTATTTGAGAAAAAATCGCGCGACCAAAAGACTCAGCAGCATATACATGCTCATTCTTAGAATTTCAATTTGGATACATCAACATAAAAAAAAAACTACTTATAAAAATCAACACGAAGAAATGACTGTTTCCGTTTAAAAATATGGTACTATTGAGTAGGTATATTAACGAATTCAAAAAATTATAATTTGCCTGYATTCGTTATTTGATAAACAAAATAGGGGTAATATTATGCTTGGTGAATCACTGCGCGTATATATTTTAATAGGCCGGCCGGGGGCTGCAGTCGTGTGGGTGTGTGACAGTCGCAAGAGATTTCACAACGATATAGTATCCGTAGAAAAAATATCATATATATATATAATATTTCACGCGACCGTAAGTGAAGCTCGCGGTCCGGTCAACGGGTTTTCGATTTCATTTTTTCCCCACTACGCGTATATAGCCTAACCTAAGATGACATATCGTACGCACGATAATAATAATAATAACAACGGCGTCTATCGAATTATATATCATGTTGACTAACACCGGTTAAACTTGTATATATATACGAAAATAGCGTTAATACTGCAGCAGACGCGTCACGGTGCGGCATTGCCTCCGGTTTATCGAAATCGTCGTTAGCTGCGCATAAATTATTATATGCAGTGGCTATTTTATAGAGATAAGTAAGTATGTTATAATAAACGCATATTATACAGTTAATGTAATATGTGACCATGTCAYCGAGTTGGCGAGCTTGTACTTGTGCAGACGAGCCGTCGAGTGATTTCATTACCCTCCGTCTACAAACTGGTTTTATTATTTATATTTTATAATATAATATAAATATTATTATTATTTGATACTCATAATATATTATCATTACATTTTATACATGGTGTTGTTTTAAAAGTATGGAGTAATAATATCTGATACAAAAGTATGTGGAAATATTGAGATATATATATATACCTAGGTACMCATATGTTCACAGAAAATTTTTTTCTTTTTTTCTTTTATGCTGATAGTAAAAACCGCACTGTATATTACGGGAGTAAAAGTTGATTTTAGTCTTTTCAATTTTAGTCAATACAAGTATTTTATTATATTAAGAAATTTATTGGTAGACTCAGCATAGGTACCTACTAAACACGCACATATTTGTAGTAAATACTTACGATTGTTTAAGAAAACAATTTTTAARCAATAAATAAATATTGCAATGTAATATTATATAAATCATAATAATATAGTAACTATATTTACTAGAAAAAATTTTAAATTTTAAAGAATCAGCACATTAGAGTAGAAGAAAAATTAACGTGTAAGTATACAAAGCTATCCAAAATTTTACTTRAAGAAACAATGGATTTTAATTTATATTTTCAAAGGTTAGATGGTTAGAAGATTTACATTAATTATCGCTATGCATCGGATCTTACAGTCGACTGATTGACACGACATTCATGTAGATACTGTAAATGCAATATGGCTCACGTTTCACTGTATACATTACGTCATACATCATATAAATGTTTATTTGTACTTTAAGGTAATTATAATATCTGCATCGATCGGTTATACTAACCTAAACGTCATTTAAATTGTATTATATGATGTCTAWATTCTATGTATATCTATAAAGGTTACATTAAGCAGTATACCTGTTTAATGCCTTCGACGAGCACATCGCGGTCGTGCGTGTCAGACAAGTAGCCAGGAAAGAGCAGCGGCGCGTGAAACGGATTGGTTGATCGCAACATGACACGTCCGCGACTGCGTGGTCGTAGCAATATGGGTACCAGGCCCCAAGCGTCTCGGCCACGGAATCTGCCGTACACCTTTTCGTAGAAGTCTTCGCGCATGCCAAACAACCGGTGCAGTGATCCGCCCGTGTCGCCGGTCAGCGCTCCGGGACCGAACACCAGTTCCATRTCGGGAACCACGGAGCCGTTGGTTGCATACCTTGTGGCCGTGAACGCTACCGCTTCGGCGCCACCAGGCACGGTCAGCGGTCCGTCACCGTTCAGGGCGTACTGGATCAGGTACTTGGGATGCCGATACCGGTTTTCAACGATCGTCACCGACTGGTTGACTAAGAACACCAGTCCGGCCATGGACACGTGGTCTTGCAGGTTGTAGCCCACCCGGAGGTCACTAACGACGGGCACGCCGACTTTTGCCAAGTGTTCAGCCGGGCCCACACCCGACAGCATAAGTAGCTGCGGTGAGTTAAATACCCCGGCGCACAATATAACCTCCTTACGGGCGTACACCAACGAGGTACGACGATTTCTGACGAATCGCACGCCGTATGCGCGCTTTGTGCCAGGATCGATGAGCACCTTGGTGACCGTGGTTCGCTTGGCGACCGTCAGGTTTGGTCGGTGCCGTATCGGCCTCAGGAATGCCTTGGACGCACTGCATCTGGTGCCGCGGTCTGTCGTGGCCAGTACGTACGAGAAACCAAGTGGCCGTGGTCCGKTGTAATCGACAAGCGTTTCATAGCCAAGCTCGCGGCCGGCACGTAAGAACGCCGGTCCTAGTGGCGTCTTCCACGAAGGTTCCTGGACCTTAAGGTACCCACCACGGCCGTGCAAATGCGCTGACTTTGGTGACGCGGCCACCCGGCCATCTCCCAAGTCCTCCGATTTCTTGAAGTACGGCAGCACGTCAGCGTAACTCCAACCGACGTTGCCAAGTCTGGCCCAACGGTCGTAGTCCTCTGGTACTCCCCGCGTGTACATCATGTAGTTGAGGACGCTAGTGCCRCCCATCACCTTGCCTCGTGGCCACCGACACTTGCGGTCATCCATTGCGCCGCACACGCCGTCCTGTGGTTCGGTCCGGTAGCCCCAGTCGTATCCGGTACCGATCAGGTAGCTGACCAAAAGTGGAACGTCCGTTATGGCGTTCTCTTCGCCACCCGCCTCGATCAGCAGCACCGTCCAGCCTGCCACCTCAGTCAGCCGGTTGGCTAACACCGACCCGCCGGAACCAGCGCCCACCACAATGAAGTCGTACTGCCGGCCGACGTACGGCGCATCCGGCACCGCGTCCATTGGTTCCGGTGCTATCATCCGGTAGTACTCGACCACTGCCTGGAAAACTGTGTACGCCATACCATGGGAGGGACTGGCCGACATTAGTACCATCGCGACCAGCACTAAAACCGCGTTCCAAAGCACTACTGTCGGTTKCATGTTGTCGCTTCGCGGCGCAGAAAATAATATAATTGAGATATAATATGATATAAACTAAGGACGTGACGTTGTTGTGCACGAGAACAAATGATATTGCCGCGAACAAGAATCCGAACCGCGAATATTCAATAGCGACACCGGTGTGCGCAAGTCGATGACAAGCGATCGGGTTCATTCCCGAGCASACACATGCCGCACCGAGTTTTCAAGGTCCTCCGAAATGTATACAACTATACCATAGTATTGCAATAGTTTTTACTACCACTCCATAAGTAGCGCCGGTCATTAAAACATTCCGTTCGTGCCCCCTCCCCCGCGGCCACTTACGGTTCCCTTGAAATGCTTTCGCTCAACACAATGGGCCTAAACGAGATATTTCTAATTATAATGCAATTATACGCTGATTACGCTGTACTTTAAATACGTTAATGCGATGATTTCTCCGTTTGTAGATCGATAGAATTAATATAATAATGTTAAAAGTATAGATTAGTATCTAGGTGTGACATCGAACAATGCTGATAACGAATGACGATATTTCGCATTTTTAACCTACGTACGTGTGAAGAAATGTTTCGATTCATCGATTTGCGTTCATGAAGACTGAGCTTCACAATATTATTATAATGTACAAAAGTTACTTATCTTAAGCATCGATTCTATATAATACATATTATAAACATTAAATGTTTTATTAGGTACGCAACGCACTATGCTTAAATAGATAGGTATACAGATAATTTGCAGACTTAATCGTAAAGCATGTTTTAATGCGCCGCGGATTGACAATCGATCAACGAACAATATTTTTACTCCGTTCAATAATCTTTTAACAAATACTTAGATAAAATGTGTAGATAATCAAAACAGTTACCGTGAAAACATTATTGTTACACCAACCGATAACTATTTTTATGATTTTTTTTTTCAATTGTTTAAATTAATCACAAAAATGCACAAATTAAAAGAAGTTATATCAACGATCTTTAACTTACAGCATATAGTTACTTAGAAAGTATAATATTATGTAAAGTTTGTTTACATTGTTTACAATATAAAAAAATAACTCATCCAAGATTATGCGCGAATAATTCTTATAGTTATCTACAAGCCAAGTTGGGTAAACTTCATCAAATTGAGCACTAAAAAAATATATTCATAATAGCTGCGTAAAATATATAATTAAATTAAGAATTTGGCCTCACCCTTTTGATTACGTACGTGTTCTTCAGCTATAACTAAAATAGAAATATTATTTAAGTTTATCCAATAAAACAAATTCTTTCAAATATATCTTAAGGTTGTACGAATCAAATAAATGCATATGATTACGTTTTTATATGATAAAAGAAACACAAATCAGCAATTTTTGTCTAAAACTATATGCTATAAACTAAGCATTTCAAGCTTATTATTTATATTATTTAATGATAATAATAAGAAAAAAAAATTTATTTTAAAAATGCTGGTATTTTCTTACTTTTAAGTCTTATRGTAAATTATATGTATATTCGTATAATGACAAAGGATTTTGTAATCAAGGCATTGAGATGAAAACATCACAAGTGAAGACTAAATACCAACTGCCGATTAAAATATTAAATTTACCATAAGACTTTWAAAAAAAGAAAATACCAGCATTTTTAAAATGAACTTTTTTTAATCTTCTTTAATATTATCATTAAATAATATAAAGTCATAAGCTTGTAACAACATAAAAAGCACGTTAAGACTTGCACTCAACAGATAAAAAATGGACACGATGCAGTCATGAACTGAAGATATTATTTGCCATCAGTAACGTACTTAAAGGTTTACAATTTGGAGGAAGGAAAATTAAATCTAGAAATTGGATGGAAAATCTTAGAGACTAAACTTAACTTAATTTATCAAAAAAATTATTTTTCAATAAAATAATAATCATCATTTGACATGAAAAATAAACAACACTATTATTATATATAACTTCTAAAATAAAAGTATTTAATTATTTACCTATTATTCTTATACAGTAATAATATTTTAATCAAAGGTAACTTTTAATATTTCTAAACCGCAAAGTTTATGAATATTACTCTAATTGTTTTTTAGTTAAAAAAATAATTATTGTTCTTGCATTGCTATAAAACATGATTGGAGTACCTACTTAAATTTGCATTTACTTAATGCATTTATCAAAATAAATATTTGGCTTTCCATTTTATTTTAAACTGGCGTTGAAGTAAATTACTTGAAGTAATTAGTAATTATAGGTAGGAGATAATCGTATTGTAGTCACGTATACCAAATATATTCTAAACTCTTCGCGTAGGGTAAACGCGTCACAGCGTTAAACTTATCAATAAATATCCTAAAAATATACAGCGTGTAATATGTAAATACTAAAATATATTATTATAAATTTCATTATTAAAAACTAGGCAATTTAAAATTTTGATTACCAAAATATTAAATATTAGTTTAAGTGCTCATAACATTCAGTTATTAACTGAAAAATATTGTAGTGTACTACCTATCATTGTAAACGATATAATATTATGAAACGCTATAAAGAAATACATTTTGGAATAGGAATGGTGTTTCATAAATAATTTTTTTAGCTTTATCTTTCAATGAATCATTTACTTAATTAAATTATGTATGGGTTAATTGTTGGATCGCAAACATAAAAAAATACTCTAAGTACAATAATAATATAATTTTAATAATTATCTATTATTATAAAGTAATAATTTTAAATATAACCTTATGTTATACTTAAATACTACAGCAGCCATTGAGTGTTGAGTATATAGTACCTAGGTGTACAGTATAAAATGATTTAATTTAATTTAATCTAAATATCATAAAAGTTGTAAATAACTGTAAGAACATGTCTGTGATATAATAAGCAAATTTATAATCAATTTTGGATGAGAAGAACAAATGATTTACGTAAACACAATAACACGTATATAATACATCTCATAATTTGCTTTCAAATGGCATTGAAATAACATAATATATTACAGTATTTGTASTATGGGTCAAAAATGTGTTGTAACTATTCCAAGTTTTCAAGGTTTGAAGATGGACCACTTTATTCGAATCAAAAATTGAATATGTAAATTACAAATTTAAATTGGTGGAAATTTATAAGATTAAATAATATAAGCATTATAAATTTGTATAATAGTATTCAAACAGTTAAATAGAAATAACTTTATTTGAAATATTGTATTTGTAAGATAAAAAAATAAAAAATAAAACTATAGTGCATTTCTTAGTGAATATTATATCCAAGTTTGACCTATATCAAAATTAAAATTATAGAAACTGGAAAAAAATATTAGGCTATTGTTAAATGTGTGACTATCGCTTAAATGGATGTAGTCAAGTGAATGTTTTATGTTATCCGAGTAGAATTAATTATCTCSCAATTGTCTGTTTACCTCGTACCAAAATTGTACCAGAACAAATCAAGTAACATTGAGAATAATTCGTTAAATATTATTTAAAACTTTCCTACTCAAGAAATATTATAATATCTTGTGTCTATTTTTTTTCTTATAGCACAAATGAATGACTCTCTTGATTTAAATTCCAGTGCTTAAATATCTAGTCRTTGTCTGCTGAAYAAATACTATCACATTCCACAAAATGAATTTTACCAGACTGCAATAAGCTGAACACGTTAAGCCATCATCAATTATACCAAATAGATGTAATTAAATAATGGTTATAATAAAGTTATATCGTGGATATTATAATGGTAATAATATAATTGRAATCATAACCCGAGTTTTATAGATTTTATATTATAACCTAGGTAGTAACTTTATAATTTATATACCAATATACCTACGCATTCGAGTTTAAAATAATATAAATGTCTTGAACAAAAAGCGTAGTGTTATTAAAATATTCGAACAAGAATAATACCCGAGACCTGAGACACGTAATTGWAAGAAATGCGTAGCCAATATACTCAAGTGCACAATGCCTACCGAACAGATTCAATTTTTACAATATTTCTCATATCTCCTGAGCATTGTGCACACTATATTGCTAAGTTAYTGTACCACAAATAACCATAAAATAAATGATAAACTGCAATAACCATTTACAACTGGCTAACGAAATAATATATTTAATCTAATTGTTATCGACTATTGAGTTATTATAGATACCCGCTTTTTTTTTTAATTTTTGACAATGGAAATCTGTTTAACCATTTTTATCTACTCTGTTAATTTTAAAATTTCCCGCATTATTAATACTTGTTTTGTACTGATACTATATTATAATTTATAGTTATGTCTTATGAGTTATGAACTATAAAGGTTTATTGCGTAATGGAATTGTTATATTTTACTAAAGGTTAGAACATTTGTGAGTTAAAATGTTGTTATTTATTTAAACCTATTGAATATTTATGTAGTCTTTAGAGCTTATTGTTTCAAAAACAAAAACAAACTACAAACTACTACTTACGAATGTAAGTTATTCAAAAAATAAATGGATTTTTAACGGTCGTTTTTRTTTTGTATAATGTTGATTGTGCAATGTGTGTTTGGATATCAAATTTATTAAGAAATACAATTTTCCTTATGCAGTTTACCATTAATAAAAGATTCGTGAAATTCTCATGGACTTAAAAATAAACTGTCAAATTGTTGCATGAATATCAAAAATAATTAAATTCCAAACGATTGAACGTATTTTTGAATTACAATTTATGATATAAATTCAATCGTATAATCGATTATACTATGCTGATGTATCACATTTCTAACCATCGCAYATATAATATTTGCATTATAATTTAAGGCATTGCAAATGATTGATATTTTTTTTAAAAAGGTACTTCAAGTTGGTCAATGTCAAGTCCCATCAATTATGTTTTTGGCAGTTATTTCAAAGAAAATGTATATATCAAAAAATATATCATCAACTTTATTTAATAATCTTTTTGCTTTACTTATTGCAGTTATAGTCAATAGACAATATTCCAGTGTTGAGACATATCTAAATAAATTTATCTAGATAATTATTTAGTTATCTTTTATCTTATCTAGATAAATATTTGAATTATATCTAAATAATTATATAAGATATTCATCTAGATAAATTCATCTCTATACAAAAAAATAT